TTTTAAACATAATTAAGAAGAAAGTCCATAGACTTTTTATAAGCTTTAATCAGGCTTTACTTCAATGATAGCTAGAGATTTGACTCGGTAATAGATTACTTCTTGAGGATTCATATGAAGAGTCTACTATATAGATTACTTGAAGATGCTAAAGTGATAGATGGCTTTCTTTCTGTGTTACAAATACTAACCAAACTCTACTTCTCCAAAACGGCTGGGCATGCATAAAATATTGTGTAAGTAATCACAAAAAGTGTAGGGATAACATGATATCTGCAAAACATTCCCCATAGAGTTAAAGGTAACCTAACAAACTACCAGCCCACCGCAAAAATTTACGATTATGTTTCTTTTTTTACACCGAGAAAGCAAGATGCAGTGGTATATTGATTGTAATAAAACTTTTTAGCACAACTTAATATAAAGGGAGGGGATCTTGTCAAATTTCTAAGAGAAGAATGAAGATCGTCAGAGAGTGACAAACGATCAGTCTAAACATGTAGTTTCTTCGTTTTATGCAGGTGTGTGCAAGTAAGATAGTATACATTTCGAGAATAAGAATGATCCTCGCCGATGTTCTGATTTCGAGTCCAAACTGATTGAAACTCTAGATCTTCGCCATGTTAAACTTATCGTAACTCCAGATCTCCGCCATTTCTCTATATAAAATAGGTGGGAACAGTGAATGGTGCAAAATATAATATTTAGTTTTTCTCAGGAAAGTCAAATTATTAAGATCTAAAATGGATTAGTTAAAAGAGTTTGTTACTGATCAATCGCGATCAAGATTGCAGCATATACATATATGTTCATTTAATAAGATTTTTAGATGTGATTAGTGAATTGTGGTTATGAGCACTAATCAATATCATTTGACCTCTAAATGTATAAAAAGATCAAAGTATATATATTTAGATCTTTGCCATGTTTAAGTTACACTTCATCTTTATACCTAGAACTGATACATAATCTCCAAAACGAGACACTAGACTAAGTAGTTCTATGACAAATTTGCGTCCACCGATTATATACGAATCTAACAATCCCTCTTAGTTTTTCACTTAATAAAGGCAGTTAGACGTTCAGAAACTCTGACAATGTGTCTGCTATGCCGTCCATCTGTCGTGCCTGGTGTTTTGTTCAATTGTCGAAATGTCTGTCTCTCTGACAATTTTAACTACCTGTTTTACCTGTTATTTTTTACTCTTCTGCATTTATTTTTTTTTTGCTAAGACACACACGATTTAATGCAGAAAAAAACCCAACATCATCAGCCTGCCATCCCATTCAGTCAACAACGGTCGAACCATTTATTTAGCTTCTCTGCACGTGTGGAGTTTTTTCTTCTTAGACATTCTCAAATAAAATTTTCTGTTTTTTGTTTTATTTTGCACATTGTTTATGCATGACTTCTAAAAATTGACAATTGAGTCTATTTTTAACTGACTGACTTGCCATTATCGCTTTAGGCGCCAATTATGTTTTCTGTGTAGTTAGTGGTGGTCAGTCTATGTTAGAGATAGTATGTTATGATTAAATATTTTATTTTAGATTTTTTTTCTTAAAAGGTGCTAAACAATTATTAAGGAATTTTCTTTGTGTAAGAATAAAAAAATGGAAAAATTGTTTACGTTTTTCCTAAATGGTTATAGTAGTATAATAAACTATTTGTTGCGTACGCTGTTAAGAACTGATTTAGAAAACAACAGGTGTCGCCAGAGAATTTTTATTGAAGACACACTTTTTTTGGTAAAGTATTTATGTATAGAAAAGTGTTTTCTTTTGGAAACAGTTTTCGTATAGAAACGTGTCTTCTTTTAGAGACAGTTTTCGTATAGAAAAGTGTCTTCTTTTGGAGACAGTTTTCGTATAGAAAACTGAAAATTGGAGACAATTTTCATATAGAAAAGTATCTTCTATTGGGGACAGTTTTCATATAGAAAAGTGTCTTCTCTAGGAGACAGTTTTCGTATAGAAAAGTGTCTTCTTTTGGAGACAGTTTTCATATAGAAAGGTGTATTCTTTTGGAGACATTTTTCGTATAGAAAAGTGTCTTCTTGTGGAGACAGTTTTCATATAGAAAAGTGTCTTCTTGTGGAGACAGTTTTCATATAGAAAAGTGTCTTCTTGTGGAGACAGTTTTCATATAGAAAAGTGTCTTCTTGTGGAGACAGTTTTCATATAGAAAAGTGTCTTCTTGTGGAGACAGTTTTCATATAGAAAAGTGTCTTCTTGTGGAGACAGTTTTCATATAGAAAAGTGTCTTCTTGTGGAGACAGTTTTCATATAGAACAGTGTCTTCTATTGAAGACAGTTTTCGTATAGAAAAGTGTCTTCTTTTGAAAACAGTTTCCGTATAGAAAAGTGTCTTCTGTTTTTACCAGTTTTTTAACAGTATTTACCCGGAAAAGTGTCTTCTTTTGGAGACAGTTTTTATATAGAAAAAAATCTTCTTTTGGAGACAGTTTTCATATGGAAAAGTGTCTTCTTTTGGAGACAGTTTTCGTATAGAAAATTGTCTTCATTGGAGATAGTTTTCGTATAGAAAATTGTCTTCTTTTGGAGACAGTTTTCGTATAGAAAATTGTCTTCTTTTGGAGACAGTTTTCGTATAGAAAGGTGTATTCTTTTGGAGACAGTTTTCATATAGAAAAGTGTGTTCTATTGGAGACAATTTTCATATAGAAAAGTATCTTCTATTTTAGACAGTTTTCATATAGAAAAGTGTCTTCTATAGGAGACAGTTTTCATATAGAGAAGTGTCTTCTATTGGAGACAGTTTTCGTATAGAAAAGTGCCTTCTATTGGAGACAGTTTTCATATAGAAAAGTGTCTTCAATTGGAGACAGTTTTCGTATAGAAATTTGTCTTCTATTGGAGACAGTTTTCGTATAGAAATTTGTCTTCTATTGGAGACAGTTTTCGTATAGAAAAGTGTCTTCTATTGGAGACAGTTTTCGTATAGAAAAGTGTCTTCTATTGGAGACAGTTTTCGTATAGAAAAGTGTCTTCTATTGGAGACAGTTTTCGTATAGAAAAGTGTCTTCTATTGGAGACAGTTTTCGTATAGAAATGTGTCTTCTATTGGAGACAGTTTTCGTATAGAAACGTGTCTTTTTTGGAGACAGTTTTCGTATAGAAAAGTGTCTTCTATTGGAGACAGTTTTCGTATAGAAAAGTGTCTTCTATTGAAGACAGTTTTCGTATAGAAAAGTGTCTTCTATTGAAGACAGTTTTCGTATAGAAAAGTGTCTTCTATTGAAGACAGTTTTCGTATAGAAAAGTGTCTTCTATTGAAGACAGTTTTCGTATAGAAAAGGGTCTTCTATTGAAGACAGTTTTCGTATAGAAAAGTGTCTTCTATTGGAGACAGTTTTCATATAGAAAAGTGTCTTCTATTGAAGACAGTTTTGATATAGAAAAGTGCCTTCTATTGGAGAAAGTTTTCGTATAGAAAAGTGTCTTCTATTGGAGACAGTTTTCGTATAGAAAAGTGTCTTCTATTGGAGACAGTTTTCATAAAGAAAAGTGTCTTCTATTGGAGACAGTTTTCATAAAGAAAAGTGTCTTCTATTGGAGACAGTTTTCATATAGAAAAGTGTCTTCATTTGGAGACAGTTTTCGTATAGAAAAGTGTCTTCTATTGAAGACAGTTTTCGTATACAAAAGTGTCTTCTTTTGGAGCCAGTTTTCGTATAGAAAGTGTCTTCTTTTGGAGACAGTTTTCGTATAAAAAAGTGTCTTCTGTTGGAGCCAGTTTTCGTATAGAAAGTGTCTTCTATTGGAGTTGGTTTTCATACAGAAAAGTGTCTACTTTTGAAGACAGTTTTTGTATAGTAAAGTGTCTTCTTTTGGAGACAGTTTTTGTATAGTAAAGTGTCTTCTTTTGCAGACAGTTTTCGTATAGAAAGTGTCTTTTTGTGGAGGCAGTTTTCGGTAGAAAATGTTTTTTTCGATGTCAGTTTTCATAGAGAATAGTATCTTCCATCGAAGACAGGTTTCGTATAGAAGAGTATCTTTGATCAAAGATTTTTTAGTATAGAAAAATATTTTCTATTGAAGACAATTTTATTCTCAAAACTAAAAGTAGAACTCTTCTCCTCCCGATATTTTCTACGCATTTGACTGAAAGTATTTGCACGCGAATATTTTTCGAAAACTCACTTCATTATAATTATCTTTTTATAATTATAATTAAAAATACTATTAGCGTTATTATTCCACTCAATAATTTTGTTTCGTATCATTAGACTATTGCTAATTATGATTATTTTGGGGTTTTTTTAAATACTTTTCAATTATAAAATTATTGATTTTAATAGCTTCCAGATAAGATTAAACTCGTAATGTTAATGCTTTGGCAGAACTTATTATTTTAATCTTTTAGGAATATATTTGTGATATAAATTACCAATTGATATCGATCGATATTAAAATCGATATTTTTTGTTCGTTTTTTAGCGAGCAATAAAGATAAGCGCTTTTAGCTAAAACTTCCCTTAATAATTCACTGAAAGGAAATATTTGAAATGGTACAAAATCGTTACAAATTTTAAAGATTTACATATAGCCAATTGTATGGGCGAAAGTTGCGTCTATTAAAAGCAGAATACTTTCTTGACAGCTGTTGAACAGGAAGAGTATTTTAAAAATCTATATATTAAAGCCCATGTGACGACAATCGCATTTCCCTTAACATTGGCGATTGGGGCTTAAAGTCGCATAATAGTTGTGCCGGGGATCGTAATCGCAATAACTTAGGCGATAGCAAATCACAAGCTTTTGCTATAGAGAACTGGGCTATTTAGCTCAAACTGACGTTTTAAAGGTTAATTAAATATCGGACGAATGAAATTAAATGTGTTTTCTTTAAGTAGTAATGAAAACTAATAACGTTTTTAATAATTATTATTACAAATAAAATATGTTTTGTTTTTTATTCATAATTTTTTCAATTGTTCAATCACATGGGCGTAAGTTCCTTTCCAATTGGCAAAATCATTCTATAACATTTTAAGCAAGACAATAGTTCATTTAACTAAAAACTATTTTCGAGAATTTCAAAAAGTATTTAACATAAATATATTTCTATAGAATTTCTACAAATTAATGTGTAATATTTTATTTCATTCTAGTGCAAAATGAAACTCAAATACTAATTTTGGCATTACTTCTGATCCTGGCAAATATAACTAATACAACGGATACATTTTTTGATTTGGACAACTTTAGTATAAAATTATATTATGAATTGGCCAGTTCGAAACCTCAAAACAATCAAGTACTATCAACATTATCCATAGCATCTTTTTTAGTTTTATTACGACAAAGTGCTGAGACCACAACTGCTTACGAAATCAATGAAAATTTAGGATTTTTATCACAAGCTGCTGAATATATTCAAAGTAAACTGGCAGTTTTCGAAAAAACCATGGACAACAGTCTATTTATGTATAACGCAAATAATATCTCAATGCAGGCGGCCAACTTACAAATTGAGGAACTTATTCTAAATCAGAAAGATCTTCTTAAAGCCGTTTTCGATATAAATATCTGTCAAAAATGTGAAAAACTTGCTTTTGAACATCATGAAATTAGATTAGAATTTTCTTCAGCCTTTCAATTTAAAGGCAATTTTCGTCATCAATTCTCAGGAGTGGAGAGCAAACCCTTCTATGTTAGTGAAAATAAGAAAATTGATCTGGATATGTTAATTCTTGCAGCAAAAATTCGTTTTGCCGATATTCCCGAATTGGAAGCTTATGCCTTTGAAATTCCCCTATATGATCGTTTAAATTTCTTAGTAATTTTAATATCTAAAATGAAAGGTGGTATACGGGATTTGGAAAATCATTTGCACAAATTTCCCTATAAAAAACTTCAGTCTTATATGAAACCACATTGGATTAAGTTATACTTTCCAAAAGTAGATTTTTTCGTAGAAACATCATTAAGAGATGAATTGGAAAATGTAAGTGTTATGTTTATGTAAATTTTCGAAATGTCGTTTTAAACTCTTTTAACAGTTGGGCCTGGGTAGCATGTTTAAAAAACTATGCGAAGTTTCGGCTCACATACGGGTTTCGAATTTCTGCTATAATGCTTCATTTTCGTTTGATGAAAAAAATGCTGGAGTCATTTTAGAAGAAGGTGAGATAATTTCATATTTTATGTACTTTTTTTGGAATTGAAGATTTTAGAGTTGTATCTAGATATATAAAGCTATTGAATTTTAAACGATTTTACTAGATTTATATTGAATTAATTTAAACTCTTTCCCATTTCAGATACCGAAGCATGTGATTTTAATGGTTACGAACAATATATAATAGATCATCCTTTTATTTTTATGGTAACTAGTGAGACAAATTTTATTCATATCATTGGTAAATTTAGTAGTAAATAAAGTTTTGAGAAAAAACGTTTTTCTTTTTTAAGACATAAAGGAACTAAGAGCAGAGTCCAGTTTATAGTGCACTCTATAGTAAAGTGTATAGCCTACCCTATAGTCTAGTCTATAGTCTAGTCTATAGTCTAGTCTATAGTCTAGTCTATAGTCTAGTCTATACTCTAGTCTATAGTCTAGTCTATAGTCTAGTCTATAGTCTAGTCTATAGTCTAGTCTATAGTCTAGTCTATAGTCTAGTCTATAGTCTAGTCTATAGTCTAGTCTATAGTCTAGTCTATAGTCTAGTCTATAGTCTAGTCTATAGTCTAGTCTATAGTCTAGTCTAGTCTATAGTCTAGTCTATAGTCTAGTCTATAGTCTAGTCTATAGTCTAGTCTATAGTCTAGTCTATAGTCTAGTCTATAGTCTACTCTATAGTCTAGTCTATAGTCTACTCTATAGTCTAGTCTATAGTCTAGTCTATAATATAGTTTATAGTCTAGTCTATAGTCTAGTCTATAGTCTAGTCTATAGTCTATAGTCTAGTCTATAGTCTAGTCTATAGTCTAGTCTATAGTCTAGTCTATAGTCTAGTCTATAGTCTAGTCTATAGTCTAGTCTATAGTCTAGTCTATAGTCTAGTCTATAGTCTAGTCTATAGTCTAGTATAGTCTAGTCTATAGTCTAGTCTATAGTCTAGTCTATAGTCTAGTCTATAGTCTAGTCTATAGTCTAGTCTATAGTCTAGTCTATAGTCTAGTCTATAGTCTAGTCTATAGTCTAGTCTATAGTCTAGTCTATAGTCTAGTCTATAGTCTAGTCTATAGTCTAGTCTATAGTCTAGTCTATAGTCTAGTCTATAGTCTAGTCTATAGTCTAGTCTATAGTCTAGTCTATAGTCTAGTCTATAGTCTAGTCTATAGTCTAGTCTATAGTCTAGTCTATAGTCTAGTCTATAGTCTAGTCTATAGTCTAGTCTATAAGTCTAGTCTATAGTCTAGTCTATAGTCTAGTCTATAGTCTAGTCTATAGTCTAGTCTATAGTCTAGTCTATAGTCTAGTTATAGTCTAGTCTATAGTCTAGTCTATAGTCTAGTCTATAGTCTAGTCTATAGTCTAGTCTATAGTCTAGTCTATAGTCTAGTCTATAGTCTAGTCTATAGTCTAGTCTATAGTCTAGTCTATAGTCTAGTCTATAGTCTAGTCTATAGTCTAGTCTATAGTCTAGTCTATAGTCTAGTCTATAGTCTAGTCTATAGTCTAGTCTATAGTCTAGTCTATAGTCTAGTCTATAGTCTAGTCTATAGTCTAGTCTATAGTCTAGTCTATAGTCTAGTCTATAGTCTAGTCTATAGTCTAGTCTATAGTCTAGTCTATAGTCTAGTCTATAGTCTAGTCTATAGATCTAGTCTATAGTCTAGTCTATAGTCTAGTCTATAGTCTAGTCTATAGTCTAGTCTATAGTCTAGTCTATAGTCTAGTCTATAGTCTAGTCTATAGTCTAGTCTATAGTCTAGTCTATAGTCTAGTCTATAGTCTAGTCTATAGTCTAGTCTATAGTCTAGTCTATAGTCTAGTCTATAGTCTAGTCTATAGTCTAGTCTATAGTAGTAGTCTAGTCTATAGTCTAGTCTATAGTCTAGTCTATAGTCTAGTCTATAGTCTAGTCTATAGTCTAGTCTATAGTCTAGTCTATAGTCTAGTCTATAGTCTAGTCTATAGTCTAGTCTATAGTCTAGTCTATAGTCTAGTCTATAGTCTAGTCTATAGTCTAGTCTATAGTCTAGTCTATAGTCTAGTCTATAGTCTAGTCTATAGTCTAGTCTATAGTCTAGTCTATAGTCTAGTCTATAGTCTAGTCTATAGTCTAGTCTATAGTCTAGTCTATAGTCTAGTCTATAGTCTAGTCTATAGTCTAGTCTATAGTCTAGTCTATAGTCTAGTCTATAGTCTATAGTCTAGTCTATAGTCTAGTCTATAGTCTAGTCTATAGTCTAGTCTATAGTCTAGTCTATAGTCTAGTCTATAGTCGAGTCTAAAGTCTAGTCTATAGTATAGTCTATAGTCTAGTCTATAGTCTTGTCTATAGTCTAGTCTATAGTCTAGTCCAACGGTTCCCAAATGGGGGTCCGCGGACCCCTAGTGGTCCGTAGTAAAATCCTAGGGGGTCCGCGAAGACGAACGAAAAAAACCATGATTAAACAATATTCTGCTTTTATATGTATGTACAAATATCTCCAATTTTTGTGCAATAATCCCAAATTTTTTGGTGACTTTTTGAATTTTATTTTTTCGGTTGTTTATCAGGAAGAAGCTTGGCCCTACAAATTTATTGTATAACTTTTATAAATTAAAGTATTGCGTGATTTGTAATTTTTATTTCCTGTATATGTACTGAAATAATGGTTTTTATTTCAGACAAATAATACTCTGCCTTACAATTAATTTAGGGATACTGGTATTCCGGAGTATGAAATTCAATTCAAAGACAAGCTTATTACAGATTTAAGTTTATCAAATTGTAAGCAAAAGTGTTCTTGTTTGAAAGGACTAAAATTATATATTTCCAAAACAGAGGTGACTCTTTATGCATCTCTTTATAAATATTCCAATCCGACGTGATACACAGATTTTAACTTGATTTTGTCGACCAATACATATTATTAAATTAACATCAGAAAATCCATAGCGTTTCGCGTAAATATGTAGCCAAAAACCATGAAGTAAAATAATTCGTTGGTATTTTAAAATTCAAATTTAAGTTCCGAATTCACAGTACTTTAACAAAGAGTTCAAATCATATATTATGCGGATAACGCATTCCGCAACAACATAGAAGAAGTCCAACTTTCTTATATTATTTTCCCGAAAACTTAGCTCACTTACTCAGTTCACCCTTTGCAATCGCAACAAATTTTTGAAACGTGACTCCTTAAGCACATGTGACAATATTTGATAAAGAAACCTTTTCGCTACCTTGAAGAAAAATGAACATGAAAGATCTCACGATCATAAAATTAAACATCATGTTAACATATCAACAAAGAAGTCATTCTATCTTCAAAATATGCAATTGATAACCTATCTGAAATATTATGTATTCTCAATGTACGGGAATATTTTATAGATATGACATCTCTACATTTATTAGACCTAGGAATTAATGAACTAGGTCAATTTTCGGATGGACAATTATTTAGAACAATAAGATATCAAAATATGTATGGGGGTCCGCGAAATTAAATAAGTTCTTCAAGGGGTCCGCGAAGTAAAAATCGGTGGGAACCGCTGGTCTAGTCTATAGTCGAGTCTAAAGTCTGTCTATAAGATAGTCTATAGTCTAGTCTATAGTCTAGTCTATAGTCTAGTCTATAGTCTAGCCTATAGTCTGGTCTATAGTTTAGTCTATAGTCTAGTCTATAGTCTAGTCTATAGTCTAGTCTATAGTTTAGTCTGTAGTCTAGTCTATAGTAAAGTCAGTAGTCTAGTCTATAGTCTATATAGCGTTAAAATTGTTTGTTAATTGATGAATCGGTCTATAGTCTAATCTATAGTCTAGTCTATAGTCTAGTCTATAGTCTAGTCTATAGTCTAGTCTATAGTCTAGTCTATAGTCTAGCCTACAGTCTGGTCTATAGTCTAGTCTATAGTCTAGTCTATAGTCTAGTCTATAGTCTAGTCTATAGTCTAGTCTATAGTCTAGCCTATAGTCTGGTCTATAGTCTAGTCTATAGTCTAGTCTATAGTCTAGTCTATAGACTAGTCTATAGTTTAGTCTGTAGTCTAGACTATAGTAAAGTCAGTAGTCTAGTCTATAGTCTATATAGCGTTAAAATTGTTTGTTAATTGATGAATCGGATAGTATGGAATTCATGCCTCTTGGAGTAATGCGAGTTCCCCAGCCGTCAGAGTCATACAAAAAGAGATTCTTGCATTTATATTGTAACTTTCCGAAACCGTTTATAACGAATTAGATTCAGTGTTGCTTTTGTATAGAGCTATAGAAAATTAATAAATAACTGAAGGAACAAAATTAGTTACCCTCTCAGTAAACGATTTAAAAATATAATTAATTTCGGTCATTTAAAGCAAGACAATTGTTCAGTTAACATAAAAAATATAGAAGTTTTGCTAATTTAAAAATGGTTAAGATACTAACGAATAAAGGTATTTTAAATAATTATATTTGTTAAAAATTTCTATTAACTAAACTTTTCTAGCACAAACTCCCTTTAAAATTATAATTTTAACATTACTTCTGACGTTAAGGCCGCAAGCCAGGGCAGACATTTTTAATTTGGAAAACTTTGGCCAAAAACTATTTCTTGAATTATCGGACTCTCAGGAGCATGAAAATCAGCTAATAGCAGCTTTACCTATAGAAGGAATTTTAATATTATTACGCCAAAGTGCAGAAGCCCATGCTGCTTACGAAATCGGTGACACTTTAGATTTGATATCAAAAGCGGCAGATGAAATTACAACAAAATATGTGGAACTAATAGAAAAATTCAATGGTGATGAATTTATCGTAATGAAAAATACTATTTCAATACAGTCAGAGGTAAATAATTTGGATCGAACTACTGTTATAACAGACAGATTTGCTTTAAATATCTGTAAAAAAACTACAACGTTCCGAAGTGATCATCAGGAAATAAAAGAGTTAAAATTAGATTTTACTACAGAAATTCAATTTAAAGGAATGTTTCGTTATGCTTTCTCAGGCACAGATAAAAAACCATTTCATACTAGTGATTCGACTGTTATTGACAAGGATATGTTAAGTCTGCAAGCAAACTTACGATTTGCCGAAATTCCCGAATTAAAAGTTAAAGTCTTTGAAATTCCCTATAGTTATGGTAATAATTCTTTAGTAATTTTACTACCAGACGCTCAACATGGTATACAGGATCTGGAAGTGTTATTAAAGGATTTTCCTCTCAGTAATTTGGAGTCATATTTGAAACCACGATCGATAAAATTACAATTTCCTATGGGAGAAATTGCTATAGAAAAATCTTTGAAAGAGGGTTTACAGAATGTAAGTTGTGGTATAATTGTGTAAATTTTTTCGATTTTATATTTAACTTATGTGTCTTTATAGTTGGGTATTAAAGGCATATTTGAACATCTTTGTGATATTGAGACCGATATACGTGTTTCGGATATCATCTTTAAAGGTCTATTTACAATTGGAGATAATAATGCTGGAGTTAATCCACAAGACGGTAAGATAATCAAATTTTTTATATAGTTTTGTTCGAAAAAGTTAGCATTAGACATTAGTGAAGGGCACGGTAGATCTTGAATTGAATGGACATTCGCTTAGTTGAGATTCAACAGTTGATAAGTGGTTGATTAAGTTTTCTTAAAGATTTAAGAGTTCACTATTATATATCGTTAATGCTATTGTTTTTTGAACGACAATGTATTATTTAGTTGATTCACTTTATTATTTCTTTATCATTCTAGATATGGGCTCTTCCGATTCAAGTGGTAACGAGGAATTTGTTATAGATCATCCTTTTATATTTATGGTAAAAGCTTCTGCAAATGAGACTTATTTGATTGGTAAATTTTCTAAATAAAGTTCTGAATAACTATAAAACACTCAAATTCAAACACAATCCTAAAAATCTATTCTCAATTAAAAAAAAAAAATCTACATCACTTTAATCAAAGTTAAATTATTTGTTTTCACACTAAACAATTTAGTAAAAAAATTGTTTTAATTAAAATAAATTGAGTTGTATTTCGTTTTTGCATTTGCCCCCCCAAAACATGTGTTTCAATTTAAACACCCAATTCTCACTTAATGGCAACAATTCCAAATCATTTAAATTATTTTAATTTATATGTCTTTCTTAAGATATTTTTTCTTATTCTTCTTTATATCTCTTTTCTTTATGTAAGTACTTCTTAAAAATATTATTAATGTTTATTTTGACAACAAAAAAAACATTTATTTTAAAAACTTTAGTTATAAAAGCAAATGAACTTTTGATAGGTGGGTTTTTTTGGCAAATTTTTCTTATTCTTAATTTGGTTAGCATAACACAAATTTCGACTGCAGTTTGCTCACGTGATAAAGTTGGTTTTGTTTCATTATTTATCTTTAACAATGACAATGAAAGGTTTCTTATTAATGTTTTTTTTGTAATAATTCATTTTGAACATTAACATCAACAGATACTAAATCTATAATATAATCTATAGTCTAGTCGATAGTATATCTTAAAGTCTATATAGATATATGTAGTTTTTCTATACTCGAGTATATAGCTTCATAAATTATCTCTACAGTTTAGTCTATAGCCTAGTATATAGTTTAATCTATAGTCTAGTATAAAGTTTAATCTATAATCTCGTCTATAGTTCAATCTATAATCTCGTCTGTAGTCTAGTTTATAGGCTAGTCTATATCCTAGTCTATATATTAGTCTATAGTCTAGTCTATATATTAGTCTATAGTCTAGTCTATAGTCTAGTCTATAGTCTAGTCTATAGTCTAGTCTATAGTCTAGTCTATAGTCTAGTCTATAGTCTAGTCTATAGTCTAGTCTATAGTCTAGTCAATAGTCTAGTCAATAGTCTAGTCTATAGTCTAGTCATAGTCTAGTCTATAGTCTAGTCTATAGTCTAGTCTAGTCTATAGTCTAGTCTATAGTCTAGTCTATAGTCTAGTCTATAGTCTAGTCTATAGTCTAGTCTAATAGTCTAGTCTATAGCTAGTCTATAGTCTATCTATAGTCTAGTCTATAGTCTAGTCTATAGTCTAGTCTATAGTCTAGTCTATAGTCTAGTCTATAGTCTAGTCTATAGTCTAGTCTATAGTCTAGTCTATAGTCTAGTCTATAGTCTAGTCTATAGGTCCTAGTCTAGTCTAGTCTATAGTCTAGTCTATAGTCTAGTCTATAGTCTAGTCTATAGTCTAGTCTATAGTCTAGTCTAGTCTATAGTCTAGTCTATAGTCTAGTCTATAGTCTAGTCTATAGTCTAGTCTATAGTCTAGTCTATAGTCTAGTCTATAGTCTAGTCTATAGTCTAGTCTATAGTCTAGTCTATAGTCTAGTCTATAGTCTAGTCTATAGTCTAGTCTATAGTCTAGTCTATAGTCTAGTCTATAGTCTAGTCTATAGTCTAGTCTATAGTCTAGTCTATAGTCTAGTCTATAGTCTAGTCTATAGTCTAGTCTATAGTCTAGTCTATAGTCTAGTCTATAGTCTAGTCTATATTCTATAATGTAATACAAAGTGTAGTCTATTGTCTAGTTTACGGTCTAGTCTAGACATTACTCTATGTTCTCATCCACTAATTTCTTCATTTGTAACAAATTTTCTTTCATTCCAATCTAACAGATAGAAATTTGGTGCAGAAGAATCGTAAATATTCGATAAAACTTTGAAATCTTCTCTGGCGTTAACAGTTTGTGTAAATTGATGAAGTGGATCAATTGAGCGATCTTCATAATTATTTTCTTGTTACAACTAGTACATGTCTATTGGAGCCATGCGAGCTTCGCAGCCTTCAGAGTCATACAAAAAGAGATGTTTGCATTAAATTGTACCTTTTCCGCACCGTTTATAATGAATTATATATGTGTGCCTTTTAAATTAGACTATATATAATGAAGTTATAAAATTAGTTGTGCTCTCAGGGAACTATATAAACATATATATTAAATTTATGCCATTTAAAGCAAGACAATAAAGCAGTTAATTTAGAAAATATATAATTTTTTTATATAAAAATGGTTAAAATACTAAGGACTGATGGTATATTTTAAATAAATATGGTTGTTTAGAATTTCTATTAACAAATCTTTAATATTAAATATTATCTAGCACAAACTGCTTTTAAGTTTTTAATGTTAACATTACTTCTGACCTTAAGGCCACAAGTCAGGGCAGACATTTTTAATTTGGAAAACTTTGGTCAAACGTTATTTATTCAACTAACGGAGTCACATCAGCAAGAAAATCAATTACTAGCACCCTTACCTATAGCAGGACTTTTAATTTTATTGCGCAATAGTGCTGAACCTTATGCTGCATACGAAATCGGTGAATATTTAGAAGTGATAGCAAAAGATGCGGATGAAATTACAAGCGACTTTTTGCAACGAATAGATAAATTCAATAGCAAACAATTTTTCGTAATGAAAAGTATTATTTTAATACAGGCGGAACCTAATGAACAGCAGGAAATTTATCTGGATCGTGGTACTGTTGTTAAAGATAGATATAAGGTTAATATCTGTCGAGACGCGGCAATATTTCGAAGAGGACATCAGGAAATACCAGAATTAGTGTTGACTACAGAAATTCAATTTAAAGGAATATTTCATTATGCATTCTTAAGCACAGAAAAAAAACCTTTTCTTACCAGTGATTCGACAATGATTGAAAAGGAAATGTTAACTCTTCAGGCAAACTTACGATTTGCAGATATTCTCGAATTAAGTCTTAAAGCTTTTGAAATTCCCTATAGTAATGATAAGGATTCTTTAGTGATTTTATCACCTAACTCTCAACAAGGTCTAGAATATCTGGAAGCGATTTTAAAGGAGTTTCCTCTTAGTGGTATTGAGCCATATTTGCAACCGCGCTATATAAAATTGCAATTTCCAAAAGGAGAAATTGTTGTAGAAAAATCCTTAAAAGAGGGTCTACAATTTGTAAGTGATATTATTTGGGATTTTTTTTTTTTTTTTGCATTTTGTATTCAACTCCTGGGTCTTTTATAGTTGGGCATTAATGGCATATTTGAAAATCTTTGTGGTATGGAGTCTGATATACGTGTTTCGGATATCATTTTTAAAGGTTCATTTGCGATTGAAGAAAATAATGTTGGAATTAGTTCACAAGATGGTAAGATAATTAAGTTTGTTATATATTAATTGACTTTTTTATTTCTTTAAAATTTTAGATATGGGCTCACCCGAAGAATTTGTAATAGATCATCCTTTCATATTTATGGTAAAAGGATCCGCAAGTGAGCCTTATTTAATTGGTAAATTTGCCAAATAAAGTTGTAAATAAATATAAATGCAAAAAATACTTATCCCTAGAAACACTCAAAATCATTCACAAAACTAAAATTCTTCTCAGGTTAGGGTGTCCCATGCACCATATTTTTGTAGTTTTACCTCTTAATGTTTACAATACAAGCAAATTTTAAAATAGTTTTTTGGAAAAAGCTTCAGTTCCTTAACAGCGATTAAAAATCTTGATCTTTAAAATGAGATTCTTAAAAAGGCTGCTTCGCTGGACACTCTATATCTCAATTACAATACTAAGTAGAAAACAACTTTGCCATTGAAAAACTAAAGCACAGCTTTTTTGTATTTAAAAACCTTTTCAAGCAAAACTCGTGATTTATAATTACACTAAAATACTATATTGGCTAAAACCAAACTCAATTACACACAGTAACACCAAAACTCGGTCAAAATATATGTATAAAACTACAACTTTACACAGTTATGAAATTACAAGGTAGTTTATTAACCTGTTATTGGTTAGAAATGAAAATTTATAAAACAAAATTCTCAGAAAATCAAAAACGCCTCAATTAATGTAAAATTATTTGTGTTCGCACAAAAACAATTAAAAAAAATATATGTTTAATAAAAATAAATTGACTTATGTTCCGTTTTTTAGTATTTTGGCAACAAAAAAAAAACATTTATTTTAAAAACTTTAGTCATAAATGCTAATGAACTTTTAGCATTTTTCTTTTTCTTTTTTGGTGTACACAAAACAAATTTTGACTGCAATTTGCTCACGTGATAAAGTTGTTTTTGTTTCATTATTTATCTTTAACAATGACAGTGAAATGTTTATTTTTATTATTGTTTATTTTGTAATATTTCATTTTGGACATTCACGTTAACAGATACCAAATATTAAAATTTAACGGCCCGTTGCAAGATGTTAAAAGAAAAATTTACCCTACAAGATTATGTGCAAATCTGATATTGAACCGTAGTCTACAGACTGCTCTACAGTGTATTATAAACAGTCTAGTTTGTAATATAGTATCTAGTCTAAAGTCTATAGTCTAGTCTAGTCTAGTCTGTAGTTTCATAGTCCATAGTATAGTCTATATTCAAGTCTATATCTATGCTATAGCCTAGAATATAGTTTAGTATATAACCTAGTCTACAGTTTAGCCTACTGTCTAGTCTATTCTATAGTCAAGTATAAATTCTATTCCATAGTCTAGTGTCTAGTCATTCCCATAGTCTAGTCTATAGTCTAGTATATGGTCTAGTATATAGTATGGTCTAGTCTATAGTATAGTATATGGTCTAGTCTATAGTCTAGTCTATAGTCTAGTCTATAGTCTAGTCTATAGGCTAGTCTACAGTCTAGTCTATAGGCTAGTCTACAGTCTAGTCTATAGTCTAGTCTATAGTCTAGTCTATAGTCTAGTCTATAGTCTAGTCTATAGTCTAGTCTATAGTCTAGTCTATAGTCTAGTCTATAGTCTAGTCTATAGTCTAGTCTATAGTCTAGTCTATAGTCTAGTCTATAGTCTAGTCTATAGTCTAGTCTATAGTCTAGTATAGTCTAGTCTATAGTCTAGTCTATAGTCTAGTCTATAGTCTAGTCTATAGTCTAGTCTATAGTCTAGTCTATAGTCTAGTCTATAGTCTAGTCTATAGTCTAGTTTATAGTCTAGTCTATAGTCTAGTCTATAGTCTAGTCTATAGTCTAGTCTATAGTCTAGTCTATAGTCTAGTCTAGGCTAGTCTACAGTCTAGTCTATAGTCTATAGTCTAGTCTATAGTCTAGTCTACAGTCTAGTCTATAGTCTATAGTCTAGTCTATAGTCTAGTCTATAGTCTAGTCTATAGTCTAGTCTATAGTCTAGTCTATAGAGTAGTCTATAGTCTAGTCTATAGTCTAGTCTATAGTCTAGTCTATAGTCTAGTCTATAGTCTAGTCTATAGTCTAGTCTATAGTCTATTCTATAGTCTAGTCTATAGTCTAGTCTATAGTCTATTCTATAGTCTAGTCTATAGTCTAGTCTATAGTCTAGTCTATAGTCTAGTCTATAGTCTAGTCTATAGTCTAGTCTATAGTCTAGTCTATAGTCTAGTCTATAGTCTAGTCTATAGTCTAGTCTATAGTCTAGTCTATAGTCTAGTCTATAGTCTAGTCTATAGTCTAGTCTATAGTCTAGTCTATAGTCTAGTCTATAGTCTAGTCTATAGTCTAGTCTATAGTCTAGTCTATAGTCTAGTCTATAGTCTAGTCTATAGTCTAGTCTATAGTCTAGTCTATAGTCTAGTCTATAGTCTAGTCTATAGTCTAGTCTAGTCTAGTCTATAGTCTAGTCTATAGTCTAGTCTATAGTCTAGTCTATAGTCTAGTCTATAGTATAATCTATAGTATAGTATATAGTCTAGTCTATAGTCTAGTCTATAGTCTAGTCTATAGTCTAGTCTATAGTCTAGTATATAGTCTAGTCTATAGTCTAGTCTATAGTCTAGTCTATAGTCTAGTCTATAGTCTAGTCTATAGTCTAGTCTATAGTCTAGTCTATAGTCTAGTCTATAGTCTAGTCTATAGTCTAGTCTATAGTCTAGTCTATAGTCTAGTCTATAGTCTAGTCTATATACTAGTCTATAGTCTAGTCTATAGTCTAGTCTTTAGTCTAGTCTATAGTCTAGTCTATCGTCTAGTATATAATCTAGTCTACAGTCCAGTCTATAGTCTAGTCTAAGTCTAGTATATAGTCTAGTCTATAGTCTAAAGTCTAGTCTATAGTCTCGTTTTTAGTCTATTAATGGTCCATTCCATAGTCTATGCTATAATCTAGTCTATGTTTTATAGTCTATGCTCTTGTCATTTCTATAGTCTGATAGTGGACTGGATACAGACTGCTCTACACTCTATGTTCAATAGTCTAGTATTTAGTCTAAAGCCTAATCCATATTCTAGTCTCTAGTCTTGTATATTGTCTAGTCTACGGTCTATTCTATGATCTAATCTATAGACTAGTCTGTAGTCTAGTCTATAGTCTTGTCTATACTATGACCTAAAGTATGTTCTATTCTAATCTAGTTGATAGTCTTTCCCATATTGTAGTCTATTCTGTAGTCTGGTCCATAGTCTAGTCTGTTCTATAGTCTGATCTATAGTCTAGTATATAGTCTAGTCTATATTGTAGTCTATAGTCTACTATACAGTCTATTCTATTCTCTAATGTATGGTCTTTCCTATAGGCTAGCCTATAGCCTGGTCAATAGTCTAGTCTATAGTCTGGTCAATATTCTAGTTCATAGTCTACTCTATAGTCTTGATTATAATCTAGTTTGTAGACGATAGTTTATTCCATGTCTGTATGCATGATTATAAGTTTGTTTAAATACAGAAGTCTGGTCTATAGAGTGAAATCTGGACTATACGCCTTGAAAATCAGTTCATTTAAGATCTCAATTTAATTATGAAATATAATTCAGTTTAAATTAAATAAAAAGATCTTAATAAATTTTCTCCATTCTTTTAAAATATACAACCAAATTATTTTTTTAGCTGAAAGAAATTATTTTAGTGCAAGTTTTTTATTAGTATTATTTATTTATTTAAATGTTTATTAGTACTCTAGTACTATTTTAGTTTTCCTGTATATATTTATACACTCATTATAATTGTATCTTAATAAATTATATTTTATTCCAGAAATATTTACTAAAAAATTATTATTTTTAGCTGAAAGATAATATTTTAATGCAGTTTTTTACTTTGGATTTTTTTTATGAATAGTATTTATTTAATAATTTATTTATTTAATCTTTTATTTTGCGCTATATTTAAATGTTTTTATTACATAAATTGCGGGTGCCAAAAATAAAAATGGAAGAAAAAGCTAATCATAAAAGAAATGCACAAATACTTATCATAAATTAATTTTGAAACAAAATTTGTTTAAAAAAATATACATTAAGGGGGTTCACAGTTTATAGATAAAATTAGGGTCAAATATTGAAACTGAATAAAATCTATAAGTTTACCAGACTTGTTGGAAATTGATATTTCAACACAATTATCCTGTTGTAGAACATCTACAACTGGTGTATGTGCTAAAGTAATCAGTTATGTAACTAGTTATATGTTAGATATATTTATATATTTCTACAAATTTGCCTTAAATATTAAAAAGAACATATGATGAACCTCCCTACTGTTTTATTTATAAATATGTTTTTTTTTAATGTTCCCTACTTTTTGTTAAGAAAGAGGAACATTAAGCTTAATTTATTACCTTAATATGACGAAGAAGAGCTGACTAACATGACGCATGCACGTGCTTTTTGTCAAAAAATTTTGTTAAAACAAAACAAATTTATTCTCTTTATAAAAATATAAAAAATTTTTATTTCACACATATTTTTTTCTCTTATTAAAGAGCAAAGGCAATTGTAAATAAAAACAGTGTTTTATTTTTAAATATTTTTAGTATAAATTAAATTTATTTTGTTATTAAACAAATAGTAGATAAAATACGATGACAATTGAAATAGAAAATTAAAAAAAAAAAAACATTCATTCAAGTATTTTATTCAAGAGAAGGTCGTTTATGTTTTATTGTAATCAGAATTTTATTTTAAAATTTATTTTCTTTTATAATAATTTAGTTAAAGCAATTTGTTTTTAAAAAAAATATATATTTTTTTAGAACGTTTTTAAACATAAATAAGGTGTTTTATTTATGAAAATTTTAGCGGCATTAATGAAGAAAAAAATTCTTTCGGAATGTCACGTAGTAAAGTTAGAATGAAATTTCTACTGTGGGTGACAAAATAACGACATTTTTGTATAGAAATGTATTTTTTTTAAAGAAAAATAAAAGAAAAACATTTTTTTATAAAATAATTAAGAAAATTTTTAAAGAAATTTCAGAAACTTGTAAGAAAATTAATTTATACAAGTTTTAAAAGAGTTTCATTGTATTAATGAAAAGTTTCATAAATACAATTAAATATATACTACCATAAGGGAAACGGGGAAATGTGTGTGTTAATGTTTGTAAGACAAATTATCCACTT